CCTCTCACCTGGTATGCCATGCAACACATGTCTCCATGCGTGGCCGAATCGTGGCAATAGTCAGCAGATCATGCCTCCACCAAGAAGTCTACAGCTTGTTTAGCGTTAACTTCTTCCAAAATTGTTTGTGAGGATTCTTGAGTCGCCGCCTCTTGTTCCTTGTCCTCAAATGCGGCTTTTACTCTGCATCTGTCGGTGTCACCCAGCTTACGCCAACTCATCCTTGGTGTTGGTAGAGTGGATTCAGGAGCTTGAACTTCTTTGCAGAGTACATAGCTTTCACATTGCAGATAACTCCTGGTCCATAGGCTGGATCCAATGGCGTAGTGTTGGGAGGAAGGAAAGACCACTACGTTGGGGTGGCGATCCATAAGTAGAGGCGGTGTCACAGTGCGTTGTCAGGAGCAACAAAATATTGAATGAAACATTCTGTTGCTTTCGCCCAGAATTTCTGCACGTCAGGAACAAAACAGTTGTCAAGCCAGAAGAGGGACAGAGAAAGAGGACATCCATGCCCATGCGGTTAGCCAGTGGACATTAAGCTTGTTCATGTCCATATTCTTGTAGGCGTGTGACTTCTGAGCTTCTTGTGAATCACCGATAACACAGTTTACAGGTACGGGAGGGGCATTGGTAGTAAACAGGGCGGTGATGCGTTCCTTCTGCATCTTCCGACCCTTACCTTGCTGCGCAGACTGGACGAAGGTCTTGGAAGGTAACTTTTCCAGAAAGACCAGATTAGATCCATATTATTTCCTAGATGCGTCACTGTACTGTCCTTCCTCATAATCTCACGTAAAGCGAGGAGGAAAATCTCCTTGCCGCTGTTTCAGCACTAAACTTCCTCACCACCAATGTTGATGTTGCGGCCTTGTTCTCTTCTTAAACCTATGCAGCCAACCAAGAGGAAGCATTGAAGGGTTTGGGCTCTGCAATTCCAGTTCGTGTCACTGCTGCGTATAGCTCGCGTGCGTACTCCTGCACTGGCGGCGTGTCGCGCCGCCATGTTTAGCGTGGCGCCTGGCGCGCAAATAACTCACCAGCAAAGTTTCCACTTTTGCCAGCACCCTGTTCTGTAATACCTGATAGATGAAGCACCTGCAGACTTTGTGATTTTCATGTGGTCTTTGATCTTGGCTGCATCCTTCTTGATTGTATGCGAATGCGTAGGTCGTTGTATATGCTGGTATTGCTTGAGATCAACTTGGCGTCTTCCTTTCTCCAAATCTTGAACAATTTGGTACTTCACCTGCGTAGCTTAATGAGCGTGCGTGTCTTCTTTGGTTTTAGTGCCGCTGGGTCAGGTGAGGAAAGGTCTCTCTCTGGGGGCGGTGGTGGTCAGCGGGGAAGCCATTTTGCGGAACAATGGATCTTGGCGTTAACCGGGGTGTGAGGGATGAAACTGCGCTGGCTGGGTCAGCGTCGTCTCTCCTCCCTCCCCTCCCTCCCTCCCTCCCTCCCTCCCTCCCTCCCGGGTGAATCACGTCATAATACTTTAAGCCAGTACAGCTAGCAGCAGAGGGTAGGGCTGCATGGCCAATCACAGTCGAGGCGTCATATGGCGTCAGTGATAGCGCAACAAAGACACACACTGCGCGCAACCTTACGGCGCCGCTTGCTAGCGAGGAGGAGGGAAGAACCCGAGCAGGCAGAAGCGGGTGGCGTGGCGGCGTGGGCAAAATCTAAAAATAGCATCGAGCGGACACTCACGGCGTATATGTGGAAAAAAAACCAGCGTTAAGTGAAAGTTCAGCTTTGGCAAGGCACAGCGTATATCTTTGAAAGCAGCGTTAAGTGGGGAAACGCGTTAAGCGAGGTAAAACTATAAAACAATATTGTATCGCAATGACAGTTGTTTCATTTTATAGCGTGCTACAAGTGTTGCTTCTATTCCTCAAACTACTGCCCTGTCATTAACAATACAATATTGTTTATTTACTAATCATTATTTAATACCCCAACACACATGACACACTACTACTTCTTTGCCGTCACCGAACCGAGTATGACAATCATCCATCCAGCTATGATACAATGATATGAGTTATTAGGGATGTCACCTTCATTTGGTGAGTAATGGGGTGACTAGAGGCTGATACAGGACGGCAGAGTTGTTCACAGATGTTGCACATGTGGAGGCTACATAGAGTGTGGGATGGGCTGTGGCAGTGTCTTTATGCGTGGCACTTGTCTGCCTCGGTTTGCAGTCAGGCTAACTCAAAGTATTGACATCGTCTCGTGTGTGCTCCTCTCAAAGCGTTACGATCTGGAGTAATCGACTCCCCAGGTGGGGGTCGATTTGACCTGCCTCAGGTTGTCTTAAAGACTATCCCTATACCCTTTCAATTGCCAGGCGTTTACGCTTACTTTAAGCCTAAAAACCACAGTCACTCTTACCAGAAGTCAGAGAGAGTTGATTTATTATGACAGCTGCCAGACAACTTGTTTACCCTGGTGGTATTTATTTATCTGTCATATAGAGGAGTTTGTCTTTTCTCTTATAAAATGTCAATGAATTGACTTAAGAATATAATTACCATTGCTTGAATTCTTGTAAGGCGTAATTAATGAATATAAACATACTATAGTTCACAATAGACAAATATTTTAATACTGTACTTAATTAGTACTGTACATATGACTAAATTTTTATCTCTTGTGCAAAATATATGACATTTATATTCAAAATATTCCTGGTAAAGGAATCCAATATGCCAACTCTGTTTTACCCCGCCTAACGCGGTTTTTCACTTACTGGCGTTTTACATGACACAGCGATTGCCTTGCCAAAGCTGAACTTTCACTTAACGCGGATTTTTCCACATATCACCGTGAGTGTCGAGACGCTATTTTTAGATTTGCCCCACCATACCCTGCCTGACTGCCTGTTTTAGCTCATAAAATTCTTACAAATTACCAGGCAGAATATAATTTACATTGCTGGAATTCTTATAATTTGGTGATCATTTTGAATATAAACATCATAGATTTTGCTTTAAACTTACAATTTTTAGATAAAAATTTTTCTCTAGGTAACTATGGTATCTTTTGTGCAAAATATATGACATTTATACTCAAATATTCCTGGTCTTACAAGGAATCCAGCAATGTCAATTATATTATCCTAACTTTAGTTTGAGGTATTATTTATTAAAATTTAGTGGTTATCACATCTCCTTGGGACGGTTGGTGGGGGTGGGGGAGGAGGGACCAACCGACCATCTGTTACCCTGTGAAGATTATTTTTTTTTATTAACTGAAGATATTTGTTTTAGCTCATAAAATTCATACAAATTACCGGTCAGAATATAATTTACATTGCTGAATTCTTATAATTTGGTGATCATTTTAATAAACATATAGATTTTGCTTTAAATCTTACAATTTTAGATAAAAATTTTTCTAGGTAATATGGTATTTTTGCACAAAAATATATGACATTTATATTCAAAATATTCCTGGTCTTACAAGGAATCCAGCAATGTCAATTATATTTTCCTAACTTTGTTTGAGGTTATCCCACATCTCCTTGGGGCCGGTGGGGGGAGGGAGGGACCGACCGACATCTGTAACCGCTTTGTAGTGTGAGAGGGGGAGTTGAGTCCATTATTTGAATGGACATTAACTTGGCGACTGTATTTCTCTATTTCTCTTAAGTATTAATTGTGTGCATGTACCATCATAAAATTAAGATGTTATTTTTACTACAACATAGGTATGTGCCTTCAAAAGTGGAGTTTGAGGTCGGGCGGTTCTATTTGAATTAATCCATGTTCTGTTCATACTTGGATTTCCTTAGGACCCTCTGGTTCAATTGACCCAGCTAAGGAGGTACTGTATATTATCCTAACTTAATCTGAGTTTTATTTATTACTAAAATGTAAATTACTATTTTCTCCTAAAGCTTCTCTGGTAGGGGAGGTTGGGACGGACCCACCACCTGGCTGCTGGAAGAGGGAGGCAAGGTGGGGTACTTTGATTGACAGATAGTGTCGTGAAGAATATTTTTTATTAACTTAAGATTTGTTTTAGCTCATAAAATTCATACAAATTACCCGCCAGAATATAATTTACATTGCTGGAAATTCTTACAGTTTGATGATCATTTTGAATATAACATCATAGATTTTGCATTAGACATACAAATTTTAGATATAATGTTTACTCTGAGTAAATATGTTATCTTTTGTGCAAAATATATGACATTTATATTCAAAATATTCCTAGTCTGAATCCAGCAATGTCAATTATATTATCCTAACTTTAGTTTGAGGTATTTATTAAAATCTAGTGGTTTCCCCAAAATTTCAGAGAGGAAGAGCCAGCAGTGTAGTGTGAGAAGAGGGGGGAGTCGAGTCCATTATTTGAATGGACATTAACTTGGCGACTGTATTTCTCTATTTCTCTTAAGTATTAATTAGTGTGCATGTACCATCATAAAATTAAGATGTTATTTTTACTAGAACATAGTTGTGTGTCGTCAAAAGTGGAGTTTGGGGGTCGGGCCAGTCTCTACTGGAATTAATCCCATATGTTCTGTTGTTCACTTAACGCGGTTTTCACTTAGCGGTACCCTGTGGGTACAACTGTACTGTAATTATATATCGTGATTTAGTATATAGTGAACATCCTTGGACCCTATCTACGCTATATATCCGACCCCACTGTATAAGGTATGAGAAAACATTATGAAGAATTTATACTGAAGCTTCCCTAAGGTCTGTCAACTGTATTTTGACAGTTCAGAAAGATGTCTTTCTCAACCTATGGATAAATCTGTGTTTAGATAGCTTGTGGTCTTGGGACCAAACCCTATTTTTCCCATAAGATAGTTGACTTAATTATCACGGATTTGGTTATCACCTGCCGGCACTTTTTTGGTCCATAACCCCAAGAATATGGAGGATAGGTGTAATATGTTTACACTCATGGGTGCTTCAGTTGCATTTGTAAGCTCGGAAGTGAAATATTTATAATAAGATAGTTTTTTTATTTTACAGGAGACATTATAGCCATATCTAGAAAAAAGTTGCTGCCTATGAGTGATGATCAACATCCAGAGGAAGAAAAGGGAAGGAGTGATGCTGTAGAGGCATTAGGACAGAGGCTAAAAGTGAGTCATGTATTAGTACACTGTGTGTGTGTGTGTGATTATTATTATTATTATTATTAACGGTTTATTGAAAGAGCATGGCAGCCGGAAGGCTGAAAATATACAGTTACATAATTGGGGAATGGGTCTCTTGATTTGCAAATAATATACAAGTAACATAAGTGATACAAATATGATATATAATAACTAGGTGGGGGAAAAGCTCAAACTACAGGGCATTTCAACATAGTGACAGTGCAGAAAGTAAGATTGACTGGGAGTGAATACACTGCTTGATTACAAGTTATTGATAATTTTACAATGGTTGGGACTGGCTGTTCTTATAGCCATCAGTTCGCACTGTGGGGCTGGATGCGGTTGTGGTGTCTAACAGCAATTCTCGGCTAGGGATCTCAGGTGGTAGTAGGAGCCGTGTCGAGGATGGTGTAGATGCTCCTCACCAAATTTGCAGATGAGGTCGTGGGAATGGTCAGTGAGAGCTGAGAGGGTCAGTGTGTTGAGCGCTTCTTGATATGTGGAGTAGGAAGGGGGAGAATAATCTTGCATGCCCTCTTTGCACTTTTTCTAGGTGTTTACGCTAGTGGCATTTAGGAGGAAGACCAGGTAGGGGAGGCATAGGTGAGCTTGGGAAGTATGAATGTTGAGTAAACACTGAGGAGCTCGGGTGCAGGAACTCCAAGGGACTTCAGTCGGCGGAGGAGGTGGAGACGGAAACTGGAGGATTTGACAACTTCACTGACGTGTGGTTTCCAATTTAGTTTGTTGTCTATGGTGACGCCGAGGAGCTTAGTGAAATCTACAACCTGGAGTGTGTTGGGACAACGTCGGAGGAGAGGTTGATGTGCATAACCATGGTCTTGGTATGGTTGTTGGTGGCCCAGTTTTGGAGACTGTTCAATAAATCCTGAAGGGCGGTATAGTCAGGAGCAGAATTGTTGACGCTGATCCCAATGGTGGAGTTCGCGGCATATTTCCAGCGAGCAGGGGTTTCTCTTAGGGCATCATTGATAAGCATAAGGAAGCAGAGTGGTCCCATCTTGGTGCCTTGTGGGATGCCACAGGTGAGTGATTGAAAGGTGGAGACAGCCCCTCGGAAGCATACAGCTAGGCGTCGGTTACTGAGGAAGTCTGTAAGACATGGTATAAGACTTCTTCGAAACATTGGGTCGATAGCTTTGTTGATGATTAAATTGTGGTAAACTAGGTCGAATGCCTTAGTGAAGTTAATGAAGGCGACAGCTACAGACGTTTTTCATTTTTCCTGATGGCAGTATACAGTCAGTTCTGCAATAACGCCGTTTTGGTCAGAGCTAATTGGCTATAATAATGACAATGAATGGAAGAACGATATTTGTAAAACGTGAACGCTGCGGTTGGCTGTAACACACCATTCCACTCGAACGTTTTAGGTGTACTATTGCTTACGCCGGGTTTTGCAGTGTTTACAGTTCACATTCGACATCACAGGTTCAATTGATTCATGTGTTTTGTTGGTGAATAATTGCAGAAATAATTTATGTAATATTTATGTATTGTACTATGTAAATTGTAAAATTTAAGCAAAGAGAAAAATCACATTTACAATCCGCGTTTCTGTTTCCATCACACTCATCAGTTGAAACACGTGGGTTGTTTTGAAGCTCCCTCAGTGAATTTTGCTTACTATTTCTCCAATTTTGTGGTATTAATCAGAAAGAAGAATATCTCCAAGAAGCATTCTGGTGATCACATTCGTGGTGACTGTAAAAGAAAGGCTATAACACTTGAAGAGTAGCTTGATGTTACAGCCGCTTTGAACGTAAGGAAAGTACATGTGATATTGTGCGTGCAACGGGAATAAAGGAGTCTACTTTACGCACCATTAGAGACAATGATACTGATGATGGCGATGACAACTCTCAACTCCTGTCTGCATGACTCCTCAACCTCACCCTTCTCCCCCATCAAGTTATATTCATATTTTTTCAAGGTAAAGTGTAACATTTACTGTATGATTTCATTATTAGATATGAATGTAACATTTATTCAGACTGTGCTATCCTTTGTGTTAGGCTAACTACTAAATTTTTTTTTGATTTCGAGTAATCTGCACCTAACCCTATTTTCTCCATAAGCCCTGTTATTTCTATTATGCCGAATTTCTACAACGCGAGGTTTTACAAGAACACAACTATCGCAAGTAGCAGACCTGACTGTATGTAGTTGAGAAAGCTGACAAGACAGTGAGTGGTAGAGGAAGTTTTCATATTACCAAATTGCTGAGGATCTATGGCTCCTGCAATATCAGCATAAGCCCAGTCAAACACAAAACTTTCACAGATTAAGCTGGGTATTGGGGTGATTGCATAGGTCGAAGCTGATTTACGGATTGTGGCTGGTGATTTGGGCACTGGTGACACATATGAAGTCTTCCAGTCAGCTGGGCATCTGGCTTGACTGAGGGAAGCATTGATGATGAGCAGAGGGTTTAGCAAGCTCTGGGGCGTAATCCTTGAAGAGTTTCATTGGTAAGTCAATGGGGGTGGTAGAGGCTTTTAACTTTAGTTTGTCCAGACGTTTGCTACTTCAAATTCTTCTACTATGTCAGTGGGAAGGGGGCTGGTAGGTAAGCAGGAGAGTGGTTAGGTCAAGCTGGGGAGCATCTGGCATATAGTGAAATGGTTGTTTGATTGCTCAGCTGCGCCACCATTAGAGATGGCTAAGGAAGGAGGGGGGTGTCTTATTGTTTAGTTCACAGAGTTCTTTAAGCTTACCATACCATTGACTGATGTTGGTCTGCTTGTGTTGCAATTTGTTGGGTAGTAGAGACTTTTGCAGTGCGTATTTCATGGATGACTCAAGCTGCGAAGGGACCTGTAGCGGATGTGGGTCGATTGAGATAAAAGACTCTGTCTCTCTGTTTCATAAGTCTTGATCCGAGGTGTGATCCAGGGCAAGTCAGCTGGGTGAGATCTGACGAACTTCTCGGGAAGAAGTGGTGTGAGCTTCCATGGTGGTGTGTTGGTATTATCCATTTGGTTTCCTCGCCATCCACACTAAGTACTTCAGTCCAGGGATGGTGAACTATCCACTGCCCGAAGAGGCACACTGCAGAGTCAGTAATCGGCCTGTAGGTCTTGATGTAGGGTCTCTGTACTTGAGTGGGAGTGGCAGCTGGGGACCAGAGCACTGATAAGTGTGTGCTACACCCGATAGGAGGCATTGGTTGAGGTGGTTGGTACTGGTCCCCTAAGTGTGTGGGAAAGTTCACAACTTGTGATAGTGACAGCTGGTCCTGGATGTCAGTGGTGTCAATTTCATAATAATCCCCACATAATACTAACTTGGCACATGGGTACCTAACTCTGAGGTGGTAATGAGATGATTGATAAGAGTGTCTCTGGTGGGTGAGCGAGGCGGATGGTATGCCACACATGGTGTGTATGTGTGTGTGTTTGTGTGTATGTGTCAACAACAGGATGGCTTATGTACAATCTTCACCAAATATATTTATTACACACAGTCGCCCTACCTTTGAAGTGGTACATTGTGAAGCAACATTTTCTGCACAAGTTTGTGAACCTTTTTCTTACACTTGGTGTTTGCTTGTCATATGAATATATAGAAACTTATTTCACTTGGGATTTAATATATTACTATTATTTTCACAGAGTGGCATTAGGCACGTACAGCAATTGAATTCACAAAGAAGGATGATGGAGAAATTCATTGCTCAAAAATTACTGACCTTACAGTCACAACTTAAAGGACTTCATGACCCTGATGAAACTGTGAGTACCAATGTTTTAACTGATGCTCCTCTGATGAAACTGTGAGTACCAATGTTTTAACTGATGCTCCTCTGATGAAACTGTGAGTACCAATGTTTTAACTGATGCTCCTCTGATGAAACTGTGAGTACCAATGTTTTAACTGTTGGTCCTCTGATGAAACTGTGAGTACCAATGTTTTAACTGATGCTCCTCTGATGAAACTGTGAGTACCAATGTTTTAACTGTTGCCCCTCTGATGAAACTGTGGTACGAATGTTTTAACTGTTGGTCTCTGATGAAACTGCCAGTACCAATGTTTTAACTGGTGCTCCTCTGATGAAACTGTAGTACCAATGTTTTAACTGTTGCTCCTCTGATGAAACTGTGAGTACCAATGTTTTAACTGTTGCTCCTCTGATGAAACTGTGAGTACCAATGTTTTAACTGATGCTCCTCTGATGAAACTGTGAGTACCAATGTTTTAGCTGAGGCTCCTTCAGAGATGGTTGTTAGTATTGTTTAAAAACTGTTGTTATTATTAATGTGATTGTTCTTATTATTGATATTGCTATTATATTATATTATACAGTCTCTCCTCGACTTACGATGGGGTTCCGTCCGGCGACCAGGTAGTAAGTCGAATATGTCGTAAGTCAAGGAGAGACTGTATTATATTATATTATATTATATTATATTACATTACATTACATTATACAGAAAGCACTTTTTATTCACGGGTTTGCAATTTGACCGTGCATAGTAAGCAAATGCCAGCTTACGAGCCTTATCCTGCAGCACAACGAGTCACCCCCCACACACCCTCAGCATCTCTCACTCCTCTTCCTTTGTTTGTGCTCAACCATTGCCTGTGATGCAGCATCTCTTGTGTTGTACTCTCAAAACTTTAGTGTTTCTGTGTGAAATGGCCCCTAAATGACTGCCTAGTGTCAGTAATGCTAGTGGAGTGAAACATTTAGAGACCTTAAAACCAAGAGGAAACAACTACCAATCATGAGGTTTTCAAGAAAGAACCAGCTACTCACCCAGTTGATTCATCTCCCTCACCTACTTGGTTAACTGCTGCTACTGCTCCACCACCCTCCCTCCCCCTCAGCCAGCCACCTCCTCACCACCCGCTTCCTGGCCCTGCACCACCTCACCACCCGCCTCCTGGTCCTGCACCACCTCACCACCCGCCTCTTGGTCCTGCACCACCTCACCACCCGCCTCTTGGTCCTGCACCACCTCACCACCCGCCTCCTGGCCACGCACCACCTCACCACCCGCCTCCCGGCATCACCCTCTTCCAACAGTGATCCTGATGATCTCCCTATGCTTCAGTAACCAGATTTCATCCTATTGTACAGTACACTTCATCACGCTCCAAACTATTATACATGAAGGAGAGTAGTATTGGTGACAGTACAGTATAGGTACATTAGTGCACTAAGGTAGTACATATAAGTTGTTATTTGCAGTTTGCCAATTAAGCTCCATTCCTTGTAACCTGACCCTCACGAATAACAGGGGTTTACTGATTATTATTAGTAGTACTTTTATCATCATCTTTATTGTTATTAATATCATTATTATTATTATTATTATTACAGTATTATTATTATTGGTAGTCCCAAAGTTAGGAATGGGTTATGTTCTTGCATCCTGTTCATAAATCAGTCGTTTTAACTCCTTAGGTTAGGTTAGGTTAAAACACAACACTGCTTAGGGTGTATCATCACAATGACAGTTGGACTTAGGATGTTGGGGGGGCCAGTATCTTTGGCCTTTGTAAGGCAACAATTTTCTCTAAATAAGCTTTTTTTATATCCCCTCATTTAGCTGGTCAAAATTGCAGTTCATCTTTTATCACCTGAAATCACCATTTGGCCATATAAAATGACCTTTGCTCATAGTTTTTGTTAGTCGCTCTAATGAAGTAAATGCAACTTTGGTGAAAATTTTATTAGTCCTAATAATTTGTTATGTGTGTGATATCCATTTACATTTACAAAATCTTGTAGCAGAAATACTTGATAAGTACCGTACAATAATAGCTGACAAGAGATTTACAAAATGAAAATCAATAAATTTTACAGCTTAAGCAATTACACTACTTTTTAGTTCATGTAAAGCTTTGTCAGATCCTTCTTGGAATTGATGGCAGAAATTTTCTTACAGGAGCCACACCCACCATGATGAACCTCGCTCCTCCTCTCCATAGGTATAAACAGAGGTGGCCGCCCTGGTCCCTTACTTTACCACCCTCTTAATGGACTGGTCATGCACAGGGAAGTACAGGTAAACCTATTTATGATGGGGTTAGATTCCTGAAAACTATCTCCATCACTGGTCGAAATATCCTTAAATCTGGTTCATTATAACAGGGTTCATTGGGATAGGTTCCTGGCCAGTCGGACACCTTTTTTTTTTTTCTTTTTTTTTCTTTTTCTTTTTTACGGAATTACACAGGCACAGGTCAAACGACCCCTACGGCGCCTGGGGGCAAAAAAAGAAAAGAAAAAAAAAGAACAATGAAACTAAAAATAGAGAACAAAAGGTTATATTGCGTTAATCTATACCACAAAGATGCCGGAAACCAGCTTTTAAAGTGAGACAGACTGTAAAGTTGGAAACACAGAAGAAGGCAGAGTATTCCACAGTTGATTGTGTGAGGAAAGAAGGAGGTACTATAGCGGGTTGTTCTTGTGTGACCAACATCCGCAGAGAAATGGCGGGCACCGTAGCAAGACGTGTTACGAGCCCATGTCCTTGCGGAGGTACACAGGATGCCAAATCCACTGAACATTGCCCGTTAAAGTACCAGTAAAGAGAGAGAGTGAACAAACATCATTGCGGCGAAGAGAAAGGGAAGAGAGGTTGTCGACGAAAGGAGGAGAAAATAAGACGTAAATGCCTTTGATTCCACCCTATCTAACAGTTGGACAGAAGAAGAGCCACCCCAGATATGAGAGCAGACCAAGTAGGGACTAATGAATCCTTATAACACTTTTGGCAACTGCTCAGAGAAGTGAAGCTACAGTATCTGTACAGCACTCTACTTTTGAAGGCAGCTAGCAATATTAAGGATGTGTGATTTCCAGGTCATATTGGAGGAAATGGTGAGGCCTAACATATTTATTTTAGAATTTGTCAGGATGATAGCGTCCTGAAATGTAATTGGTGGGAGATCGTGTAATTTACAAAGTGTAATTGGTAAATATTGAGTTTTATTACTATTGAACTTAACCAAGTTGTATCTCCCCATTCAGAGATGCTGCACAGATCCGCACTGATAGAAGTAATGATATCAGTTCTAGAAATACAATTAAACAACACTCCTTTCATCCTTAAGAAGAAGTCTGGTCGTAATCACATGTCCCCACGGCTGGTGGGACTTCTAACTGAGCTTTGGCCTTTAGTCGCCAACCCCCTCCTCACGCAGGCATATTCAGGAACATTAAATAAACAAATAAAAAGCAATTCTAGTCTTACAAACTGGCCATGAATGATATAAACAGGAAGTAAATATATGTCCTTACCACAGGTTGGGAACATGGGGTAGGAAGACGTAGGATGTTCGTGAAGAGGCATATTTATGACACAATAGTACGAGGTAAACAGCACTAATTTGTAGGCGGTATGAGGTACAGGACACTTGTTTTACTATGTTATTAATATTTACACTATTAACAATACTATTCCTGTGTTAGGAGGTTGGGGGGTAGAAACATCAGGTGAAGTGAGTCAAGACCAAGGGTGAGATGCCTATAACACAAAAACTGAAAATCTACTGAGAAGAGACTGGGAGACTCTCATATGTGAGGAGTGAAAGATAAATACCTACTTGGCAACATAATCTAGCCAGGCCTGCCCTTTTTAATTAAACAGGCCCCTGAAAGATCAAAAGTCATGTGATGTAACCCAAAGCCTTGGGGTTAAGGTGAAGTGGAGACATAAACCCGAGCCCCACACAGAATTTGGGGAGTGAAGAACGGGGACTAGAGGTGTAGCCTGGTCCTGACCTTAAAGATGGTGAGCAAAATGCTTGCCAGACATTTTCAGAATTACACTGCCTACCACACAGTCACAAAAGCACAATAATAATGATGGGGACTTAATTCTTTAAAAAAAAAAAATGTGAAGGAGGTGTGGTAGGGGATTAGTGGACATGTTACTTCAACCTGACCTGATCAATGTTAGGTGGAGGTGGGGTGAGAGATTATTGGTCTCGTGCAGTGTTAGGTCATCCAGAGTGAGGGTGGGGTATTAGTGGGTCCCTCGGCCTGAATAAAGATAAAGCTAGGGAGCAAATATATTTATGACCTATAAAAACAAAATTTTTTAAATTTTTATTCATAACATCTGCTCTAATTGTGTTAGAGAAATTAATTTGATACCATTGCATATCTGGAGATGCACTCTTGATGACGCTATTTTTGACCTTTGAGATATACAGTATACAGTATTGTATAAGTAGGGTACAGTTAGTAATAAGCTCAGCTTAGTACAGTAACATATCTTTATAAATTAATGAATAACAAGCAAACAACATTTATCATGAATGACTGTTATTATAAAATGAGTGAGAAAGGCAGGAAACATTGAACCAGGAACTCTGTGACATGTATTGGGGAGAGGGAGTAGGTGGCTCATAGACCTTCTCCCTGGTGATCAGGACACAAAGGCAGCTGGACTCAGGGTTGAAGGTTGGTACCTCTCTCTTCCTCTCACCTGCTTGTTTCCTCTCAGCTGCAGGTCTGTTCTTACCCCAAACTTCTGCTCCTCTTTTGTCAGCACTGCAGAGCAAAGTCTGTATCTCACTGTATGGGTACCAGGCACTTGACTGAACATAGGGCAGGACAGCAGGGATTATCTCCTTCTGCAGCATAGTGCCTAAGCTGTGTTTGTGGATGTGCCTAGGACCCTCAACCCAACTGTGCTAATTTGGCCTCAAACCACCATAGGTAATACACTCCATCTATAAATTCAACAATCATTTCAAGATTTCTTGTCTCTCT